AGGAGAATGGATAAGCTGAGGATTATTTATGCAATGAAATGCTAGACGATGATTTGACTGAAATAGATCAATGTGAAAAAACGTTGTAAAGGTAGTATTTAGTTTTAAAAAATGAGTTACAATAGTAATATGTAATTTATATGTTATATACAATACCCATATTATATATGGGTCGTGTGAGCTCCAGAAGCATAAAATAATGTCATTCCGTATTTATAATCACATATATTTGTAGTAACAGTATAAAGGAAATACACCAAATTAGAATGTGATTATGTTTGGGGATGGAAGGATTAGAAAGGAAAGGGAGTTAGCTTTAGCTGTATTTATCCTTTTATATTTCTTTTACTGTTAAAGATACTTGAAACAAAAAATGCAATGAGTTTTATTTCTCTCTTCAATTTTTTATAGCTCTAATGGTTCCATTTTCATTTCTTACTGTATCACATATTCTTTGATGCTTCCACAGCACTCATGTTCTTTGAAATTTTCTTAAGTTACTATTACTGTATAAAAATGACCTTTTCTAATTCTTCAAAAAAGTACCCTTAACCTGTGGTTGGCAGTCTACATTTTTCTTATTTATTTCTTACATATCTTTGCAAGATGCTTCCATGGGTTCTACGTTGATTTATCTTTGGTTTTTGTTTGTTCATGTTGGAATGGGGCCCTGACATCTATATCCATGATTTTGCCAAGAATAGTAATGGCGGGGTCCTTCTTGACTTCTATCTTTGTATACTTATACACTGATTGAATCTTTCCCTTTAAAAATGAGTGGGAGCTGGATGTTGATGGTTTGGATTCTTTGTTTAACCACTTGGGTACTCATGGGTCTGTGGGGAGTGGGTTGGGACAATGAACATCCATAGCCCAGAAACATTACTCCCTTTTTATTCTAGATCTCTTGTGTGGGATATCTGCTCCACTGCATTTTAGCTTTTTCTTTAATGCATTATTTTCTTTGTTCAGTAGATAACTTTCAGTAGCTATAAAATTAGCAGTGAGCTTCCTGTTTCCTTTCTTTCCAGCTCTTCTGTCTGCTACCACTCCCTTCGGAAGTTCATCAAGTAATTGAAAATAAAAATAGTGTGTGGCCTCCCAGTATCTTCCCACTGTTGGGTAGAAAATAGTTTCCAAGCTGGATGTTTTTTATTCTTTCATGGTTAATTTTTCTTGGCACATGGTTAGTGTGCTTAATCTTCTATCTTGGGTCTTTTTCAAATCTAAAAAATTTTCTTATATAAGTCTAATACATTTTCTTTCCTCTCAATTTCCCTTATTTTCTTCTGGAAGATAGTTGCAATGCCCTGATTAATTCTTCATATCTGATTTCTCACTCATCTTCCCATCTCTTTGTTAGTAGTTTTGTGATATTTGAAAGTATTTGGAATTCATATTGTCATCGGACTTTTATCCAAGAGGAAGGGATCATATTAAGGTAATGTCTACAGCATTTCCACATTCAGCCAATGTATTGTTTTTCTGTGGGAACAACAGAGAGATATTCTCAGGAATATAAAATTTTAGGATTTTTTTATTACTATACCCTTGATCCAAAAATTACCCAATTAAACAAATTAAAACAGAAACAATTATACAAAACCAACCAGATTAAAAAAAAAATGGGCGGAAGACCTCAGCAGACACTTCAGCAAAGAAAATATACAGCTGGCAAATAAGCATATGAAAAGATGGTCCACATCCTTTATGATTAGGGAAATGCAAATGAAAACAACAATGACATACGACCACACACCTATTAGAATGGCCAAAATCCAGAACACTGCCATCAGCAAATGCTGGTGAGGATGTGTAGCAACAGGAACGCTCATGTATTGCTGGTGGGAATGCAAAATGGAACAGCTACTTTTGAAACACATCTTGGTGGTTTCTTTCAAAACCAAGCGTACTCATCCCATATGATCTGGCGATCTTTCTCCTTGGTATTTACCCAATGCAGTTAAAAACTTATGTCCACACAAAGCCATGCACATGGCTGTTTATTCATACTTGCCGAAACTTGGAAGCAACCAAGATGTCCTTTAGTAGATGAATGGATAAACATTGTTTATCCAGACAGTGAAATATTGTTTAGTACTCACCCCCCCACTGCAAAAAATAAGAACTATAAATCTATAAAAAGATATGAAGGGAACTTAAATACATATTACTAAGTGAAAGAAGCCAATCTGAAAAAGCTACATACTATATGATTCCAATTATATGACATTCTGGAAAAGGCAAAACTATGGAAACACTAAAAAGATCAGTGGTTGCCAGGGGTTGGGGAGTGGGAAATTGGGATGAATAGGTGGAACACAGAGCATTTTTAGGGCAGTGAAAATATTCTATATGATAAAATAATGATGAATACATGTCATTTTACATTTGTCTAAACCCAGAGAATGTACAATACCAAGAGTAAACCCTAAAGTAAACTATGGACTCTGGGTGATAATGATGTAGGTTCATCACTTATAACAAATGTACCCCCTCTGGTGGGGGTTTTTGATAGTGGGGGAGCTATACATGGGTGGGGGCAGAAGGTATATAAGAAATCTCTGGAGCACTGGGTGTTACACGCAAACAATGAATCATGGAACACTACATCAAAAACTAATGATGTAATGTATGGTGATTAACATAACATAATAAAATTTTTTAAAAATCCTATGATGCCAAAAGACACTGTGTTCATACACTCATTTCCAAAGTGAGAAAGAAAATTGCCTCAGTGAGAATGAGCAGTTTACCATGGGGTAAAACTGGAGAATGGGAAAGCAGGAGAAATTCTTTAAACTCTTGGTGAAATTCTCTTTTCCTCAGCCCATTTGCCTGTGGAATATCTATTTTTAATTTTGAGTGGACTTTCATTCTTCAACAAGATCATAAATGGGTGCTGGTTAAATCATTCAGTCTGTGATATTTTGTTATATAACAGTACAAAACTAATATAAGCAGGATCTTAAGTGCCAAATTCCCAAGCTCCATAATACAGGTAGGAAACATTGTATTTATTTATAACTCAGAGTGTTGTTAAGTATCTAGAACAGTGCTGTCCAAAAGAAATTAAATATAAACTACAAATTCAAAAAGAAAAAAGAAATCTCTGTACCTCCCTTCCTCTCAATTTTGCGGCAAACCTTGAACTTCTCTAAAAAATGTAAGTCTTACACATACACATACACACACACAGAGTGACCCAAATAAATATTTTTTAGCTCAGTGAAAGTAACCAAGGTAAGGAATTCAAGTATGAGTGCTAAGAGGTCCAAACGAAGAAACCGAGAACAATCAAACCTGTAGAACACTGGGCCATGGCTAAGTACACATGGTGGATGAGTAAAAGAGATCTATTTTACCAACTAGCACTAGACTTCCTCCTACAGTAGAAACATTTGTTTATAGCAATGTCTTAGTAAGCCTGGTTAGATAGCAAGTAAACGTAATTACAAAATGTGTATTTCAGGTCAATTTACTGAGTCTTTCTCTACCTCCATTTTCCCACTTGTAAAATGGTGATGATTGTTCCTACCTCACAGGGTTGTGAGCGCAGGAAGTGGACAATCATATATATATGTATATATATATATATTTGTGTATATATGTATATATGTGTGTGTGTATATATATATATATAATATGGGGCGGCAAGTACGTAATCACGTTATTAATCGTTGAGTGGGAATTTGAATACGGGAGCCAGGAGAAGAGAGGAGAGGAAAAGCACTGCATGCTCTGCTGAGAACTGCATCTGAGTTGATAGAATTGAGGGGAAGGCGCAGTTGGTCTTGTGCTTTTGGTCATCCACTGTGTAGCACCGGAAGGAACCCAACCCTAACCCCCACCTTCCCACCACAGCCTTCCACAGTTCCGCTCCCTGGAACTCCTCCCTGGCTGAGTAGCATTTTGAAGGATGGAAGACTTCAGGAGAAGGAGGTCAGCTGTATGTTTGGGAGACAGTGGGACAGGAATGTAGAATGAATTTTGAAAATTCAGTGAAGACAGAACTCGGAGCTGTAGGTAATTTGGAGGAATGCAAACTTCTGAATTTTTATAAATCTTGGTAAAACCATAGAGTTTCCACAGACAGGGGTTTGAGGAGATCTTAATGTGATCCTAAAGGACAACATTAGCCTTATTGATATCTGGTTTTGCAATTTGATTGTGAAAGGTAATACAGGTGACAAAAATAATTACTTAAGCGATAGATTACGTAAGAGATAAGCATAAGGTGGATCTAAAAGCTCTGATTATTCCCCAAAAAATCCTTGAGGAAAACAGAGGAAGCAAAACACGTTAAGCACATCCTACACAGTCAATAGGTGCAATTTTGTGCATTGTGTTAATATAGGAACTCAAGTTTATTCCTGCAAGACATGACATCAGACTGGTCCACCATCTTAATGACATTCTGCTGAAAGGGCATGGAGAGCCAGAAGAATCAGGAACCCTAGATACCTTGATAACACACCAGCATACCGAAAAATATGGGTAAATCTCAAGAGTCAGAGTCCCAAGACTCTGGCTCTGACGTTTCTGAGGGTTCAGTGTTGTGGGGCTTGTGAGGATATTTCTTCCAATGTAAGCAACAAATCGTGCAACTTTCATCTCTTACCCATAAGAAGAGTCAAAAAAATGGTGTGGGCATCTTTAGTATTAGATACCAATTTTAAGGTATGACTGACTCATTAACTGGTGATCTGAAAAGTCGCTCACCTGGAATAGACCACTTAATGAGACAAGATTCTATGGTGCGCATGGCTATTCCAACTGGGTACTTCTCTGATGGACCCTAACTGATACAGTCGTGCTAGTAAAGCCCTGATAACAGACTAAATGAGGAATTATGCTTTGTAACTATTTTAGGAAGAGAAGAGAAAGGGATTCTCAGCTACATAACAAAGAGAAAACTAAGTTTGAAACCTGTTGCTTCCAGGGAGGAGACTAGAAAGGCAGGGCTGTTTTCTGTTATAAGCCTCTTATTGCTATTTGACTTGTTAACTATGAACCTAGGTTACTGTGATTAAAATTAAAATTAATTTGAAAATTAGTCATTTTCATTAGTAAAATAATTCACAAAATAAAAATAACTTATCTTCAAAATTAATCTCGTCCTTGTTTTCAAACCTAAATGTTCAGTAGAAAAATTTGGGAAATTAAAATCTCTTTCTCCCTCTTTTTTTTTATATCAGGTTTTGGGTCAGTTTTCTTTATTGCAACATTTTATTCAATCTTTTTTTTCTTGCTGGAAAAAACTCTTTTTCCAATACATTGCTGGGTAACACATGCTTTCTGGGCCATGTCTGTTTCTTCACTGAATTATTAAGGAAACAGTGGGTTCACTGAGTTAAAGCTCTGATCCTATCAAAGAAAACACATGTGCAGCCTCCGTGAAATCTAGGTGGCATGCACAATGTGGACAGTAGATTCATTGTTGCTATGTGAAGGACACAGGAAACAAACATTGTTTAGAACTTAAGAGAAAAAAAAATGTGCACTTTATTGGATACTTAGATTTTGCAAAGAAGTATGGAATTACATACTCACAAAAGTTAATCATTCAGTGGGTTTCTTAAAACTAAAAATCTGTCCTTCTTATACTGCGCTATCTATAATCAATGTTGGAATCATTGCTACTACCAGTCAGCTGAGTGATGGGCAGCTAATGACAGGCTTTCCAAAACACCAGCACTTAAATTCCCTTCTAGATGAAGAGTTCTGGCTAGGGTTCAGAAACTTCTTGATGGGGTGTGCTGCTTTTTCATTAAAACAATGGAAAGTTTGAAAATACCTTCAGAGCTTTACGACAATCCTGTTTTCGATCTGGTGAAATTTCTATAACTTAGTGATGTGACCTCTCAGGTAAGGTAAATTATCTATTAAAAATAAGCGGGGTGTTTCTGTTTTGGTTTTAAAGAGAAAGAATAGAAGACTTTCCTTGGAGTTAGGGAAAAAGCAAGAACAAAAATCACTCAGTGTGCAGGGTTAGGTCATCCTGTACAATAGCTCAGGCTGTGGACTGCACAACTCCAGAGAGTGATATTCACATAGACCATGATGAGAGTGGTACTCCCAGAGATGCACAGCACAGTGGCCCTGCAGTCTCAAGTGAAGACAATAGATCCTTAGATTACCAACAGAGGAATTTTACTATAATTATGAACAGAATAAAATTCTAGTAAGTTGTATTCCTGATTTAAAAAAATACATTCTTGGGGGGCGGAGCAAGATGGCGGAGGAGTAGGAGACCTAGATTTCGTCTGGTATCAGGAATTCAGCTGAATAGGGATCAAACCATTCTGAACACCTACGAACTCAACAGGAGATCGAACAGGAGAGTAGCAACAACTCTCTGAACAGAGAAGCGACCACTTACTGGAAGGTAGGGCGTGCAGAGAAGTGAATCCGAGGCGATATTCGGGAGGATAGACGGCGGGGGAGGGGCCTCCGCCGGCCAATTCTGGCAAGTAATAGAGCCGCGGAGCACAAAATCGGACCTTTTAGAAGTCGGCTCGGCGGAGGGACGTCGCTGCAGTGGCTAAGCGGGCGGTGGAATCCTCCCGGGACAGTGTGGTCTCAGGACCCTTGGGGTCACAGAGAGACCGGGGGTGCCTGAGTGCGCCAGAGCTCCCAGGTATCAGAGCGGGGAAGCCGGCTGCAGAGACGGAGCAAAGTCGCGGGCTCTCAGCTCGGGGTTGCCATAAACTGTGATCTGCGGCCCAGACGGGGCACGGCTCCCCCAGCAGGGACCCAACAAGCAGCAGATCCGGGGAGACTCCCCTTCCTTCCCGGGGAGGAGCGGTGCGGGAACGCACTGCAGGGATCTGCTGGGTTTGGAGACTCCGTGCGGGGTCGGGTGCTAGAGATAGCAATGCTCGATCACAGGCCGGGTGAGCACGGAGTGCAGCCGGAGACCGGGGACACGGGAGTGACTGCTATTCTCTGGGGACACACTGAGGAGCGGGGCCCCGAGTTCTCAGCTCCTCCGGGTGGAGATTGGGAGGCCACCATTTCTGCCCTGGTCCTCCAAAGCTGTACCGAGAGGTTGCAGGGAACAAAAGCTCCTGAGAACAAACCGGAGCAGCTTCCTTAGCCCGGACCGACAAGGGCGGGGCAATTCCGCCTCCGGCAAAGACATTTGGAAACCACAGCAACAGGCCCCTCCCCCAGAAGATCAGCACAAACAGCCAGCAAGCCAAGACCAAGTTGATGATCAAGGAGAATGGGAGAACTCCAGCGCTAGGGGAATACTGCACATAGATTCATGGCTTTTTTTTTTTTTTTACCATGATCCATTATTTCATCAAAGTTAATTTTTGTTGACTGTTTTTTTTTTATTTTTCTTTTTCCCTTTTTCAACCAACATCTTATCAATCCCTTTTTTTTAAAAAAAAAATTTTTTTTATTTTTCATTTTTAGAGTCATATTTTATCCCTTCATAGTAGTTACCCTTATTTTTGGCATATATATATAAGTTGTTCTCTCTTTAAAATTTTGGGGTACAGTTTCTTCTAACAGATCAAAATATACCCTAAATCACTAGTGTATGGCTTTGTTCTAGTCTCCTGCCTGATCACATTCTCTCCCTTTTTCCTTTTTTTCTTAAATCTTCTTTCTTTTTCAAACAACTTATCTTACCAAGTCCTTTTATAAAATCTTTTATAATTTTCATCTTTACAGTCATCTTCCATCCTTCATTGTATCAACCCTTATTTTGTACATATATGTCTTTCTTCCTTTAAAATTTTAGGAGGCACTTTTTTCTAACAGACCAAAATACGCCCAAAATCTAGTGTGTGGCACTGATCTATGCACTAGCCTGATCCTATCGGATCATATTCTGCTTTTTTTGTATTGTTCTGTTTTTGTTTTTATCTTTTTTCTTTTTTTTCTCTTTCTTTTTTCTTTCTTTCCCTTTCTTTTCCCCTGGTTTCAGGTCTTTTCTGATTTGTATACAGTATATTTGCTGGGGACGTTGTAAACCTGTTAGCATTTTGTTCTCTCATTCATCTGTTCTCCTCTGGACAAAATGACAAGACGAAAGAAATCACCTCAGCAAAAAGAACAAGAGGTAGTACCGTCAGCCAGGGACCTACTCAATACGGACATTAGTACGATGTCGGACCTAGAGTTCAGAATCATGACTTTAAAGATACTAGCTGGGCTTGAAAAAAGCGTGGAAGTTATTAGAGAAACCCTTTCTGGAGAAATAAAAGAACTAAAATCTAACCAAATCGAAATCAAAAAGGCTATTGATGAGGTGCAATCCAAAATGGGGGCACTAACTGCTAGGATAAATGAGGCAGAAGAGAGAATCAGCGATATAGAAGACCAAATGATGGAAAATAAAGAGGCTGAGAAAAAGAGAGAGAAACAACTACAGGATCACGAGGGCAGAATTCGAGAGATAAGTGATACGATAAGACGAAACAACATTAGAATAATTGGGATCCCAGAGAAGAAGAGAGAGAGAGAGGGGCAGAAGGTATATTGGAGCAAATTATAGCAGAGAACTTCCCTAATGTGAGGAAGGAAACAGGCATTAAAATCCAGGAGGCACAGAGAACCCCTCTCAAAATCAATAATAATAGGTCAACACCCCGACATCTAATAGTAAAACTTACGAGTCTCAGAGACAAAGAGAACATCCTGAAAGCAGCTCGGGAGAAGAGATATGTAACCTACAATGGTAGAAACATTAGATTGGCCACAGACCTATCCACAGAGACCTGGCAGGCCAGAAACGACTGGCAAGATATCTTCAGAGCACTAAACGAGAAAAATATGCAGCCAAGAATACTATATCCAGCTAGGCTATCACTGAAAATAGAAGGAGAGATAAAAAGCTTCCAGAACAAACAAAAACTAAAGGAATTTGCAAACACGAAACCAGCCCTCCAAGAAATATTGAGAGGGGTCCTCTAAGCAAAGAGAGAACCTAAAAGCAGCAAAGAGCAGAAACGAACACAGACAAGAGACAGTTAACAGTCACCTTACAGGTAATACAATGGCACTAAATTCATACCTTTCAATAGTTACCCTGAATGTAAATGGGCTCAATGGCCCAATCAAAAGACACAGGCTATCAGATTGGATTAAAAAACAAGACCCATCCATATGCTGTCTGCAAGAGACTCATTTTAGACCCAAAGACACCCCCAGATTGAAAGTGAGGGGGTGGAAAACCATTTACCATGCTAATGGACACCAAAAGAAAGCTGGGGTGGCAATCCTTATATCAGACAAACTAGATTTTAAAACAAAGACTGTAATAAGAGATGAGGAAGGACACTATATCCTACTTAAAGGGTCTATCCAACAAGAAGATCTAACAATTGTAAATACCTATGCCCCTAACATGAGAGCAGCAAATTATATAAGCCCCAATTAATAACAGAAGCAAAGAAACACATTGACAACAATACAATAATAGTGGGGGACTTTAACACCCCCCTGACTGAAATGGACAGATCATCTAAGCAAAAGATCAACAAGGAAATAAAGACTTTAAATGACACACTGGACCAAATGGACTTTACAGACATATTCAGAACATTCCAACCCAAAGCAACGGAATACACATTCTTCTCTAGTGCCCATGGAACATTCTCCAGAATTGATCACATCCTAGGTCACAAATCAGGTCTCAACCGGTACCAAAAGATTGGGATCATTCCCTGCATATTTTCAGACCACAATGCTTTGAAACTAGAACTCAACCACAAGAGAAATGTCGGAAAGAACTCAAATACATGGAGGCTAAAGAGCATCCTACTAAAGAATGAATGGGTCAACCAAGAAATTAAAGAAGAATTAAAAAAATTCATGGAAACCAATGAAAATGAAAACACAACTGTCCAAAATCTTTGGGATACAGCAAAGGCAGTCCTGAGAGGAAAGTATATAGCAATACAAGCCTTTCTCAAGAAACAAGAAAGGTCTCAAATACACAACCTAACCCTACACCTAAAGGAGCTGGAGAAAGAACAGCAAATAAAGCCTAAACCCAGCAGGAGAAGAGAAATCATAAAGATCAGAGCAGAAAGCAATGAACTAGAAACCAAAAGAACAGTAGAACAGATCAACGAAACTAGGAGCTGGTTCTTTGAAAGAATTAACAAGATTGATAAACCCCTGGCCAGACTTATCCAAAAGAAAAGAGAAATGACCCAAATCAACAAAATCATGAATGAAAGAGGAGAGATCACAACCAACACCAAAGAAATACAAACAATTATAAGAACATATTATGAGCAACTCTATGCCAGCAAATTAGAGAACCTGGAAGAAATGGGTGCATTCCTAGAGATGTATCAACTACCAAAATTGAACCAGGAAGAAATAGAAAACCTGAACAGACCTATAACCACTAAGGAAATTGAAACAGTCATCAAAAATCTCCCAAGAAACAAAAGCCCAGGGCCAGACGGCTTCCCGGGGGAATTCTATCAGACATTTCAAGAAGAATTAATACCTATTCTCCTGAAACTGTTCCAAAAAATAGAAATGGAAGGGAAACTTCCAAACTCATTTTATGAGGCCAGCATTACCTTGATCCCAAAACCAGACAAAGACCCCATCAAAAAAGAGAATTACAGACCAATATCCTTGATGAACATGGATGCAAAAATTCTCACCAAAATACTAGCCAATAGGATCCAACAGTACATTAAAAGAATTATTCCGCATGACCAAGTGGGATTTATTCCTGGGCTGCAAGGCTGGTTCAACATCCGCAAATCAATCAACGTGATACAATACATTAACAAAAGAAAGAGCAAGAATCATATGATCCTCTCAATAGATGCAGAAAAAGCATTTGACAAAGTACAACATCCTTTCTTGATCAAAACTCTTCAGAGTATAGGGATAGAGGGTACATACCTCAATATCATAAAAGCCATCTATGAAAAACCTACAGCGAATATCATTCTCAATGGGGAAAAGCTGAGAGCTTTTCCCCTAAGGTCAGGAACGCGGCAGGGATGTCCACTCTCACCACTGCTATTCAACATAGTATTAGAAGTCCTAGCCACAGCAATCAGACAACAAAAAGAAATCAAAGGCATCCAAATCGGCAAAGAGGAAGTCAAACTCTCACTCTTTGCAGATGATATGATACTGTATGTGGAAAACCCAAAAGACTCCACCCCAAAACTGCTAGAACTCATACAGGAATTCAGTAAAGTAGCAGGATATAAAATCAATGCACAGAAATCAGTGGCATTCCTATACACCAACAACAAGACAGAAGAGAGACAAATCAAGGAGTCGATCCCATTTACAATTGCACCCAAAACCATAAGATACCTAGGAATAAATCTAACCAAAGAGGCAAAGGATCTGTACTCAGAAAACTATAAAATACTCATGAAAGAAATTGAAGAAGACACAAAGAAATGGAAAAACGTTCCATGCTCATGGATTGGGAGAATCAACATTGTGAAGATGTCAATGCTACCTAGAGCAATCTACACATTCAATGCAATCCCCATCAAAATACCATCCACTTTTTTCAAAGAAATGGAACAAATAATCTTAAAATTTGTATGGAACCAGAAGAGACCCAGAATAGCCAGAGGAATACTGAAAAAGAAAAGCAAAGCTGGCGGCATCACAATTCCGGACTTCCAGCTCTATTACAAAGCTGTCATCATCAAGACAGTATGGTACTGGCACAAAAACAGACACATAGATCAATGGAACAGAATCGAGAGCCCAGAAATGGACCCTCAACTCTATGGTCAACTTATTTTTGACAAAGCAGGAAAGAATGTCCAATGGCAAAAAGACAGTCTCTTCAACAAATGGTGTTGGGAAAATTGGACAGCCATAGGCAGAAGAATGAAACTGGACCATTTCCTTACACCACACAGAAAAATAGACTCCAAATGGTTGAAAGACCTAAACGTGAGACAGGAGTCCATCCAAATCCTAAAGGAGAACACAGGTAGCAACCTTTTCGACCTTAGCCACAGCAACTTCTTCCTAGAAACATCGCCAAAGGCACGGGAAGCCCAGGCAAAAATGAATTATTGGGATTTCATCAAGATAAAAAGCTTTTGCACAGCAGAAGAAACAGTCCACAAAACCAAAAGACAACCGACAGAATGGGAGAAAATATTTGCAAATGACATATCAGATAAAGGGCTAGTATCCAAAATCTATAAAGAACTTATCAAACTCAACACCCAAAGAACAAATAATCCAATCAAGAAATGGGCAGAAGACATGAACAGACATTTCTCCAAAGAAGACATCCAAATGGCCAACAGACACATGAAAAAGTGCTCAACATTGCTCGGCATCAGGGAAATCCAAATCAAAACCTCCATGAGATACCACCTCACACCCGTCAGAATGGCTAAAATTAACAAGTCAGGAAACGACAGATGTTGGTGGGGATGCGGAGAAAGGGGAACCCTCCTACACTGTTGGTGGGAATGCAAGCTGGTGCAACCCCTCTGGAAAACAGTATGGAGGTTCCTCAAAAAGTTGAAAACAGAGTTACCAGCAATTGCACTACTGGGTATTTAGCGCAAAGATACAAATGTAGGGATCCAAAGGGGTATGTGCACCCCCATGTTTATAGCAGCAATGTCCACAATAGCCAAACCGTGGAAAGAGTCAAGATGTCCATCGACAGATGAATTGATAAAGATGTGGTATAGATACACAATGGAATATTATGCAGCCATGAAAAGGAATGAGATCTTGCCATTTGCAACGACGTGGATGGAACTGGAGGGTGTTATGCTGAGTGAAATAAGTCAAGCAGAGAAAGACATGTATCATATGACGTCACTGATATGAGGAATTCTTAATCTCAGGAACAAACTGAGGGTTGCTGGAGTGGTTGGCGGTGGGAGGGATGGGATGGCTGGGTGATAGACATTGGGGAGGGTATATGCTACGGTGAGTGCTGTGAATTGTGTAAGACTGTTGAATCATAGATCTGTACTTCTGAAACAAATAGCACAACATATTTTAAGAAAAAAGAAAAAGAAGAAGATAGCAGGAGAGGAAGAATGAAGGGGAGTCAGAGGGGGAGACGAACCATGAGAGATGATGGACTCTGAAAAACAAACTGAGGGTTCTAGAGGGGAGGGGGGAGGGGGATGGGTTATCCTGGTGATGGGTATTGAGGAGGGCACGTTCTGCATGGAGCACTGGGTGTTATGAACAAACAATGAATCATGGAACACTGCACCAAAAACTAATGATGTAATATATGGTGATTAACATAACAATAAAAAAATTAAAAATAAAAAAATAAAAAAATACATTCTTTATAAAATTCAGTATCTCCAGGAAAGCATAACCAAGGGAAGAGAAATCACCAGAAATATGCCACAAACGTATCTATTAGAATTGCATTAATTTGCAAATCATTGACATCTTCAATATATGAAGTAAGTCATCCAAGCTCCCCAGTTTATTCTTTCTTTTTTTTTCTTTCCTTTCTTTTCTTTCGAGAGAGAGAGAGAGAGAGAGTGCCTGTGAGCAGGGACAGGGGATGCAGAGGAAGAGAGAGAATCTTAAGCAGGCTCCATTCTCACTCCAGAGTCCCAGGTGGGGCTTGATCTCATGACCCTGAGATCACGACCCGAGTCGAAATCAAGAGTCAGACACTTAACTGACCCAGCCACCCAGGTTCCCCTTCACTTTGTTTCTTTTTTCAAGTTTTGATGAAATTTTGTAATTTTTTTCTTATAATTTCCTCACAATTCTTGCTAAGGTTCTTGCTGGATGCCTTTTGTTTGGGGTTCTTACCGTATGATTTTTTTTCTTTTTGAGCTATGTAAATCCTGACCTCTGGCTATATTGCACTTTCTTCTAAATGCACTCTCCTGAACCCTCCCACACTAGGCTATTTACCTTCTCTTAACACCATCCTTTGATTCTGTACTCCTCGCCTGTGTGCTCAATAACTAGCTGGAAACCATATGTCATAATGAAACCACTGATATTTTGCTATTTCTTGTGTTCCCGTCTGAGCAAATGATTAACACTGTGTTTGAAGCCACTGCTGTTGTTCTGAAAAACTCTGATCCAAGATATCTTTTGCTATGTACAAAGATTACAGATATGAAAAGCACATTTCATGATAAATAGCAAATCATTATTATGTCCCTCCAAATGAGACATCTCACTGGTTAAGGAACCCTGTAACAAAGGTTTCATCGAGTTTTCAGCTTGAATAATGTAATTCTATTCAACTTGAGGTACTTCAAATATATCCTGCTTTGAGTATTTCCAACACATCTTCCTCTATGGGCACAATTACGTCTTCCTAAACAGCAGGCTGAAGTGCATCAAAGGTAACAACTATTTTAAACATCCAGTGCAGTGAATAGGATGTCAAGAAATTTTTGTTTTGCAACCACTAACCACAGACAACAGCATTGTCTATAACTGTGTATGAGTATCTGAAGGTTAATATTTCCTGCCTGAGAAAATATTTGCAACTTCAAGTACCCGGTAGCCTTAATGTTAAACATGGTAAATAGAGCAGATTGAGAAACAGCAGAATCATCTAATATTAAATTTGAAAGAAACAAAATTTGAAAGACCACCTAGCCCAACTCTTCCAAAAGATAGGTGTGCTCTAAGGATGTCTTTTTAAAGATGACAGCAAGACAATACTGTAGACTGAAACTGGCCCACAGATCTCAGGTAGAACTTAGCTACCCAGGATAACACCTGATCCTGTAACTTTCTAACTACTGGATGCTTCATAAAACAGATTTTAAATAGGGGCACCTGGGTGGCTCAGTCCATTAAGTGTCTGCCTTCGTTCGGCTCAGGTCATGATCTCAGGGTCCTGGGATGGAGCCCCATGTTGGGCTCCCTGCTCAGGGAGTCTGTTTCTCCCTCTGCCCTGCTCCCCTTGTGCTGGTTTACTCTCTGGCTCTCAAATAAATAAATAAATAATCGTTTAAAAAAATAGACTTTAAATAGCCCAGGGCTTAAGAAATTAAATGCCATTAATGCATATTTTTCTTACCAATTTCAGCCATTCTTAACAGTAGAGAGAAATATTTTCATTTGGTATTTAGTATTTGCATATTACAAAGCCAACTTTGGATTATCTACCAGTAGTTTCTCTACATGATAAACCCTGAAGGTTTGATGCATATGTAAATTTGGGGGGGACTACCTGACAGTAATCAAAATGAAATGTTTTTAAGTAAATCACAATATGACAGTCCCTGCATGAGTTTGTTAGGGCTGCCATCACAAAGTACCCCACACTGAATTGTTTAAACAACAGAAACGTATGTTCTCACAGTCCTGGAAGCTGGAAGTCCAAGCTCAAAGTGTCAGCAGGGCTGGTTTCTTCTGAGGCCTCTCTCCCTAGCTTGTAGACGGCTGCCTTCTCCTTGTGTCTTCACACGGTCTTCCCCTGTGTGCGTCTGGGTCCTAATCCCCTCTTCTTATAAAAATACCCCTCATGTCAGATTAGGGCCTACCCACATGACCTCATTTACCTTAATTACTACCCTTTAAAGCCCTGTCTTTAAAAACAAATCACATTCTGAGGTACAGGGAGTTAAGAATTCAACACGTGAACTTTGAGAGGGATATAATTCAGCCTGTAACAGTTCCCTACTCAGAAACTTTCCCTGCCTAGTTTTCAAATCTCCTCCCTTGCAATTCTCCCTCTTGCTTATTAATCGGCGGTCCAAACCTCTGCAGTCCTATTGGCCTTCTCTTAATGACTAAGAAGCACTGAGAACTTTTCTGCAACAGCTCCCTGAACTGCTCTGTCTGCCCTATTTAGAAAAAAATCATGTAAGATGAGATAGAAATACATCCATATGTGTAAGTAATCATCATCAATA